GACCGAACCCGGGAATGACCGAACCCCGGGAATCACCGAACTCGGGAACAACCGAACCCGGGAATGACCGAACCCCGGGAATGGCCGAACCCGTGAATGACCGAACCCGGGAATGACCGAACTCGGGAATTCCCGAGCCGGGAATCCCGGTCTGTTCCCGGGTTCGGTGCATGTCTAAAAAGAACAATTTGAAAACGAAAACTACAGATAAAGGAATGCTAAATACAAATGTATTGTGTAAAGAACGACAAGATTTTTTTAGTAACTATTCAAATATACAAATGATCTGTACACTGAAAAAAAAGGCGTCAGACGAATCCCAGTAGGTTTCGTGGAAAGTTACGATATTCCGGAGGTTACCGTGCACTTCCACGGAATCTCTACGAGGTTGAGTGAAATACAAGGTTTCGTATTAATCTTCTGCAATTTTTCAAATTGCAAAAGGTTTCGTGATATGCTCTCATGGGTTTGGTAGGTTACTAAGGTTTTTAATATACCCTGTGATAATTTCACAATAGTGATATATTATACAGATACGACCTCTCTTTGACGTTACGTATGGCTGACTAAAATGGAAACCAATGATATAATCAACCAGTATGCACTTATTTTCGATCGTTGTTCAATAGATTTCGCTAATAAACTTCTTAATTAATTTTTATAATTTTCTTATTAGACCACCTGTTGATTATTTTCCTTGTCGAAGTAGCTACCGTCCTTCTAAAGAATTAAAAAATTGTTAAAAAACTGTGTTGTTTGTTGTTCTGGTCTTTTTAAGTAAGTTGCCTTTCTTTCAACACAAAAACAAATTACATTGAAAATTATATTTTTTATTCAGGTCGCTGTTGATTGGAGTTTTCTCTAGTTGTTCAAAAGTTGTTCTTGAATCTTGTTGGGTTTATATAGTTTGATAATTCTGATAAGAATAAACAGCTGAACTTTCTGTAGCAATTGTTCAATACACAAGGTATTTGTTTTCGTTTTCACATAAAAATTTATTTTTATTTTGTAGTGATCATTCAACTTCATCATATTTTATCACGAGATTCTCTAATTAAACAATTACACATTTCAATAAGATTACAATGGATTCTCGAGAGTGGAATTGTTCACCAGTAATTCAATGGTTATCTTCCTTTAATAAAAATCAACACGTCCTTGATGTTTTTACTAGTAAGTGGTCCCGATATGTCTCTATAAAACTGTTATTTTTGCTCACTATGCGTCCATAGCAGACCACACTATGCATTTCGCGAATTATTTAGGCACTTACAGTTAGTTCATAATAGACAATCAGATTTTAAAGTTCGATGTGAACTTGGACCATTATGTGGAAATACATATTCTACTTTTGCCGGTTATAAAACCCATATTTATAGAGAACACACAGATCTTCTTGATAATGCTTCATGCGAAGAAGAAATACACATTAATACGAACACGCGTGATAATGAAACAGCACTAGCGACAAGCTATGATGCACAAATAGATGCTGATAATCTAATGCATAATGTAGAAGATGAACGAAACCAGATAGAAAGCGAAATAGATGATGATGAAGATGTCATATGTTGGCCGTTACTCACGGAGAAAACAATCCAATCATCAGAAAACAAGATAGATTTTGATTACTTTGAAAAGTTTTACGTAGATTTTTTGCTCAATCTTCGAGAAGGTCATTCTTTGCCACAAAATATGATTCAAACAATTACGTCTGGATTAAAATCTTTGATAGAACTAGTTCATGAATTATTAAAAAACGAAAATAAAAATTCAAGGACCAAATATCAAAGATCAGCTACTACTTCAGCCACAGACGATTCTATTTTATTGACTGATATGAAAGAAGTTATTTCAAATATCATAATAGTTATGCATAAATGACATTTGATTTTCTTCAATTATTATAAACTATTCATCGCTTTGTGTTTTTTTCCTTAGCTTTCCCCTATTTTACGTTATATATAGTCACGTCTCGTTAACCACTTTTTCTTTGCACAGACAAACGTCCTTTGTAGATAACCTATTAGCAAGAATGACAGATATTACAAAAAACGAATATAGCTTTTTGAAATTATGTAAAAAATATTTTTCGTATACATCAGCTGAAGAAATAAAGTTAGAGAACTCCGATCAATCGGCATATTATATACCAATACAATCCAGTATTCAACAAATGTTGAATAAACCTGATGTTTTAACTATGTTAATTAAGAATATTAATGGAAATGTTAATCGTAATGCTATTCATACAGATCTTATGTTCAATTATCGCCATGCATTGGATGCAAAACAGCATCAAGTTTTGAAAAATAAGCCCAATGCATTATTATTTCAGTTATATATCGATGATATAGGATTAACGAATCCAATAGGTCCTAAGAAAGACACTCAAAAGATTACAATGATATACTTTCAATTAGAAGATTTACCTGATACAGTTAGATCAATGTTAAATTCCATAGGACTTATTGCAATGTGTCATTCGAGTTATTTATGTAATAAGTCGAATAGAAAAAAATTCTTCGATGCAATAATTGAATACCTTAATGCTCTACAATCGACTGGCATTTTTATTCCAACTCTTCGTTATCATTTGAATTTTACCTTTACCATCTTGGCTGGTGATCATTTAGCTTCTAATGATATCGGTGGTTTTCAAAAAATTTTTAGCACCGGCGAGTTCTGCCGACATTGTCATATAAATTATGATCAAAAACTTATTCCTTTAAATCAAATTTCTCATCCTCGTCGAATCACAGATCAACATAATTATATAGTTCAAAAAGTTATTGATTTAGATAATAATGCTGTGTTACAAGGTGTTGCTGATAGAAGTCCATTAGCAAACCTAATAGGTTTTCATGCTGTAAGATCGCTACCGAATGACCCTATGCATGACTTTCATGAAGGTATATAGAAGAGAACTTAGTTTTATACAAAATACAATTTTCTTTCTTCTTTCTTTCTTTAGGTGTTTGTGGTCAATTATTAATGGCTATACTGAAAGAAGCTTCAGCAAAAAGACTCCTTACTTATGGTGAAATCGAAAGTCGTTTGATATCATTTGAATATGGAATGAATGATAAATCAAATAAACCACCTATTTTACGAAAAAAGCACTTGAACAAAGGGAAATTTGTTGGTACAGCATCACAAAAGATGCTACTATTTAAACTATTTCCGATAATATTTTATGATATAATGGATCGGTTAGAAACCAAAGAGATTTATATCTGTTTACGCGAAATCATAAGTCTTACATTTGCTTGTCCTTTCCGAAAATCGTGGCTTTCGTATTTAAAATTGGTAAGTATTAATTTTCAATGTTTAATGGTACATTTATTGCCACATCTTGTGACATGTAAAGTTCATTTTATCACAGATTATGCAAAACAGATCGAAATGAATGGGCCAGCTATTCGACATTGGTGCATGCGTTTCGAGTCGAAACACCAAGTTTTCAAACGACTTGCCGTTAAATCGAATAACTTTAAGAATATTCTATATACGTTATCGAAACGTAATCAATTGCAACAATGTCTTCTTTTATCTTCCTCCAATTATTATACAATAACAAACGAAGCCTATTCATTATCAGAAAGAAAATTCCATACATTATCAGCTGATATCCGTGCATTATTACAGAACCATGTAGGATCTTTTGATGGTACAACAAAACGCATGGAATATCAACGCCTGAAATTGAACCATGTGATATTTATTAAAGGATCTGAGCTCGTGGACAATTTGAGACACGAAGAGGAGATACCTTGTTTTCTTCATATGATGTTTATATTTAAAATTAATGATACTTAGCTATTAATAGTAGAACAACTTCAAACAATTGCTTTCAAGGAATCGCTATGGTCATACGAACTTGAACACACACATTTGTTTTTCGTGAAAGAGCCGAATGACCTTATTCATAGGTGTGCTGGAAAAATGTCGAAAGGAAAAATGTCGAAAAAAGAAAAAGCGAAGAAAAAACATTGAAGGGAGAAATGTCGAAAGGAAAAATATCGAAAGGAAAAATGTCGAAAGGAAAAAATAAAAAAATAATCATGTCTTCAGTATACGGCGATTCTAATCACATTTCGTTCATTTTTTTTCCTTCTGATTTTACTAGTGTAGAATTTTAGCCACTATTGATAGGGATGACTAACTATTGATAAAAGTAAAATAAAAGAGTTGAACAAAGAATTATTATATAACTAAACTTGTACTGTTATGACTGAAGCTTTCGTAATTTTAACTGGTGAAATTCAAGCAAAATCTCCAGCTATTTCATTTATAAATTCAAATAAAGGAAAACCTCTACTAATAGTTGCCGATGAATATGCTTTTAAATTGAATAAAGCAACAACAACTACTAAGTATTGGATATGCACTATCAATGGTTATGCAGCTAAAGTGCATACGGATTCAACTAATCTATTGATGAAAACTGTTGACAATCATAGTCATCTTCCAGAAAAAGAAAAACTTGAGGTTCTTGAAATTCGCGAAAAAATAACATTTTTATTTTTTATTGTTTTAAATATTTTTCTCACTGTTAACATTTCAACTTAATTTCATGCAATAAAACATGCACTATATTATTTACAATTCTCTAAAATATGAACTGACAATGTTTCATGTCAATATTATTTTTTCGACATTTTTCCTTTCGATATTTTTTTCTTTCGACATTTTTCCTTTCGATATTTTTTTCTTTCGACATTTTTCCTTTCGATATTTTTCCTTTTGACATTTTTCCTTTCGATATTTTTCCTCTTCGTTCTTTCGGCATTTCTACTTTCGACATTTTTCCTTTCGACATTATTACGGCCAACCTATTCATATACTACCTAAAAGAGTTGATATATACGAAATAGGAAAAAAAATCATACGTTAACATTTTTTCGCGTCTTACTATAGAGAAAAAAACAATCAATAAAAAAGATGATTTGTTAAGTGCCATTTAACAAAGAAAAATATATTCCACCACGTTATAATTATATTAGTCGAAAAGTGTTTATGTTGTTATATCTTATTTAGTCATTTTCTTTAGTGTATTCTTTTCTTTTTAGGAGAAGACATTGATGGTGAAACACTTTTTTATTTACCACAATATATGATGTACGACATAATCAAACCTATGAAAGAACGGGTACATTTTTTAGCTGAACATCGTGATTTATTTCATGGAGCATTTCGAAATAATTCTGATCAAGGAATCTCTGAAAAATATATTAATCATTTACAAGATAACAATTCTCAACAATTATTAGAGAAACGTAATTTTAATCAAGTTACAACACAGACAACAGTCACGTTTTCAAATAATTATCAATATGATAACAGCGGCTGCATCAACAGCTCAACAAGCTTGGTGTCTCTGCTGTGAATCATGAAACAAGAAAAACAGTGATGACATACAACCGAACGCTGTTTAATGCTGCTATGACGCTGGCTAATGCAAGAGGGTGCACGTCGGTGAGAGATCTGGCTTCATACATTGGCATTGTGGAACATGAAAGTCGAGCTAATAGTTTGGACGATAAGGGCAATGTGAACAAAGCTCAACAAAATAAATTCTTAAATGATCTTATCGACGGAGGAAAAACAACCAACAAAACCAGCGAAAACAACGAAACCAACAAAACAAATAATAGATTGAAAACAATTGAACAAAATATCAAAACACTCATGCCATGCGTGGAGAAAAATATGGAAGACAAGCGAAATCATCGAGGGTAAGCAATGCTTAAAAAGTAATGGTTTGAAACATTTCAAAAATTATAGATTCCACAATTCGCTTGACGCTTATGAACATGCAATGCAGCATGGGCAAAATACAAAAACACCAATCAGTGCTGATCGGTGGCAGGGTGGAGAAGCATATCTTAACGCGCCCGGTCTACCAGTTACAAATCAACGATGGAATCAGTGGGGAACAAAAGAGGTGTATATCAAACGCTATTATGATCCGCCTTGATCACGAACAATAGCTCTCAAGCAACTCAACTTTTATAATGTACATAGTTTGTTTCTAATATGTATACCATTAATTAACACACCATTTAACCGCCTTAAATAAATCACAATATTTTTTTCAATCTTTTTACCCGTAAACACGGTTTTTAGTGTTTTTTAGATCTTTTTTTCTAAGGTTTTGACAAGCGAAAGACAGTATGCCTCCTGACGTTGTGATTCATGATTCAAAAAAGAAATCTGGTAAGCTCTTTTTAAAGAAATTTATTTTGGTCCATAAAAGATATTTATTATTGTTATACATACTTCACATTTCAGTGCATACTTACTCTCCTGATGAACTTCGTTTGATTACAATTCAAGCAGTTTCTGATAAAAATCGAATTGACAATGTCATTGGTTCTTTCAAAAATCTTGAGCCTTCGGTTATTGTTTTTATCCGTCATCATTTCAAAATGGAATTGCTCAAAGTGGTCAAAGCTAACATCAAAGACAAAATGGTTCAATTGATTACTCAGGGAAAAACAACTTTCATAAACGAAGGAAAAGCTGGGTTGACTGTAAAAAGTAAATTTTTTAACGATATCACTGAGCAGTTAAGTGATAATAATGTTGAACCACCAGAAGAATGGAATATTGAATTACAGCGACTTTTTCATCTTCTCATGAGCCGATTTATTCCATTAGGTAAGTGACTTTTTGATTTCAACAAGTCATAAATAACAAAACAATTGTGATTGCTTTAGGTCCTGAAGAAACCTTAAAAAGTTTAATTTTTCAATGGTTTGAATCTGGTGAAATGAGTCTTGAAACTTGGCGTGAATGGAGTAAGTGGTTTAATGAAGGTGTAAAATTGAGCACTCTCAAAGCGATAAAATGGCCACAGGCTTCGCCGGGAGGCGTCATTCAATTGAATTTTCACAGAGCTCTGAAAACTATTCCAACAGATGATTTTCAAGAAAAAGATGGACTTATCGCTGTCTTGAAATTGTACCTACAAGAACCGGAAATTAAAATAGACGAAAATGGAACCACGTTGAATGTGGTCGGTCGCACCATTTTTTTAAGTTCCATTAAGAAGAAAATTGAAAGCATGATGCAAGGAACCACTATTCTACAAGTAGATATTGTTGCTCGAGACGTGTTTCACATTGATACTGATTTGGAAGGTAAAGATTGGCAGGGAAAAAATTTGTGCGTTGTTACTGAGAAAGTCAACGTATGGGGTGATCGGATAATTGATGTTTCCGGCAGCGGTTATGCGGAACAAAATTGGAAAGCTCAAAATGGTGGAATTGGCTGTGATGGTGAAAATGGCAAAGATGGACGTCCAGGAGAATCCAGCGGCAACATTGCTATCATGACAAAAGACATTTTAAATCCGCAAAAACTCAAACTTGTCCTTAACGGAGGAAATGGCGAAAATGGGCAAAACGGAGGTGACGGTGGTGATGGTGCTGATGGAAAAGGAGTGACCATGGATGAGCTTAAAGCTGCTTGTGTCAAGTACGACAGTTTGTATCGCACAAATTGGAGCCATTTTATCAATTATGAACCAGTGAACTGGACGCGCACATTCTACTCTTATAATTATAGCAAAGAATATTTGTACTACAAATACATAGATCCCAACAAAAGAACAATGATCTATTCACTTGCAAGCTACGCTGGATGGACGTATTCATGGTATGAGCTTTTTGTTTGGATCCAAGGCACTGACGGTACTGCTGGAGGTGTTGGTGGACGCAATGGCTGTGGTGGGGAAGGTGGCAATCAAGGCGAATGCAATGTCATTAATTCCGACACTGGTGTTGAATTTACTGCTGTCAATATAACCAAGAATCCAGGTCGTAATGGAACTGATGGAACTGTTGGTGAATGTGGAAAGTCCGGAAATAATGGAAATCACATGGCAGTCATTGATCGGTCTGCAAGTGGAACAAACAAATTTTTCTATGGGGAAAAATCTGCCACAAGATTGAAAATGGAGTATTACGTCAAATCGGATACTAAACGCCGCATAAATGGTTATCGAAAACACGTTGAAGATGAATCATCTGTTTTTGGTGAATTTGAATTTCAAGATGTTCCCAAAGGAGGAATCAGAAAGACGAAACAAAAGCAGAAACAAGAACGATCTACTGAAGCTCAAACCACAATGAAGAAATCTATTGTGCTCAATAAATTGTGGGAAAAAGCGGCTGAACACACAGCTCAACTCGATGGAGCACTAGCTGCGGCTATGGTCACGGTTAAATCTACAACGACTGCTAATTTCGAAATCGAGGAAAGCGTGGAAGAAGAAGAATCGACGGAGCAAGAACAGGAAGTTGTTGTGGTCAAAGAAGTCAACGAAGATTCATTAGAAATTCGGAGAACTAGATTGAAGAAGTCTTACATGATGCCTGCAGAATTCTTGAACAGCTTGCTGGCAAAGAAAAGTCACGAAAGCGTTTGTGGTCTCGTGCAAGAAGTAATTACATATTTCCTAGTTGAATTCAGTCATGCAGACTTGAATCGCGCAAATACCCCAATGCTGTTGCGATGTTCCAGAATGCGACAAATCATAGAAAATCCATTTAAGAAAACGCTGGTTGGAGCAGTACAGAACAAGAAAGAAGGTGGTTTAAGTCTTACTGAACTCGAAAATCTTAGCAAACACGCTTCTCAAAAACGTCAGCTGAAACGTCTAATTACAAAGCATCGCAATGATGTTTCAAATTACGCAGAACACTGCCAAACTGCTGAACTTAAAATTGATTCAAAATTGATACCAAAGGATGGCAAAATATGCAATGTAAAGTTCGTTGAACCAGCGCCTACTACATTTTGGAATGTCAACATCGATCAAAAGGAAATCGTTGCTGTTACAAAAAAATTCTTTAATGACTACTCGCTCAATGAAGTCGACAGCAAATTGTTATTAGAGATTCAGACAACACGCGACAACTTGAAGATAGAAATGGAAAAGTATCTGAAGGATTTTGGACAACATCAAATCAATTGGGCCGACAAAGAAGCTTGGGAGGCTTTCAAAACAAATTTGCTGGAAGAAAAAGCTGAAATTAAAGCTATCATGAAAGCCATTTCCGGACTCAAAGATAAGTTAACCAAATGCTTTGAAGAATACAGAAAGCTGATTGCTGACAAATCCATACTTGAAAAAGCCAAAAACAAAGTTCAAACTGGAGGCAGCAGTGAACTTGAAAGCAGATTTGGCAAAGTTCCAAAGTTCCACAACAGGGTTGAGGAAAACTTGGAAGCAGCTCACTTTTTAATCCGATTCTATCATCAAATGGAACGATTGCTTGAATTCAACAGAATTCTGATGATTGTCAACTTAATTCATTACACGGAAACGACAAAAGAAGGTCCTGTAATCATAAAATTGATTAACAGTTACCTAACCTTAACACTAGACAACCTGGTACGTCCAATTGAAAACGTTAAAATCAATCTAGAATCCAATTTAGCCGAAGAGTGCATGAGAGCAAAAGGCTTCCACAGTGCGGCTTTCCGTTACCTTGTAGCAGAATTGAACAAGATGAAAATTGAAATTTATGGAAATGAAGATTACGGCAACGTCGAATTGCTAGAATCGTGGAATCCAAGTGGAGAGAAGCTTGTCAGAATCGCCTTCGATGGAGATCAATATCACGATTTGGCAGCTGATTCCCAGCTTCGACAATTGATTGCAGCAAGATCGAATCATCCATGGGCGAAACATTTTGGAGATTATAAACAACGCTTAAGTTCCAGATCGTGGGACTACACAACTTCATCAAGCAAGAACGATTTTGCCAGCTACTTTCCTTCCGGCTTTGCTCCCTCTGTTTTTGAATGGGTCGATTGCTACATTGCTTCGACTGGCGATCAAAATTTGCTCAAAATGCTTCATGAAAGATTTGAACTTGATGGCAATCACCTGGGAATTGCGGATTTTCAATTCCTCATCACAACAGCTATTTTGATGCAGTCTCAATACCAGGTTTCGGCCGATTTTCTTTTGAATTTGGCTTCCTCTGTTCCTCAAACTAAACTTGTCGACACTTTCTTCATTGCAAGAATTGAAAGTCAATGGCGACGACAGTTGGAACAAGCTTCTGAAATTTCTAAACTCCTCAATCTGATCTCTGTTTCCCGTTTGAAAATTCTTTTTGCAACCAAACTGGACGGTCAAAAAATTGAAGAAAAAACGCTGACAAAGCTCCTCGTAATGCTCAGTTTCACTTCAACAAACAACAAACAACTCGAAAAGATGAATTTATCCGATTGGATTACTATGGCCGAAAAACAGAAATACTTTGTGTTCAGCAATGAAATCAAGGAATTTGCAAACATTGGATATTACATCATCTATCTCAAACAACAAGATCGACGAGAAGCTGTGACATTGGAGAAAATTCTCACCAGCAAAGATCGTGAATTTCACATTCCGGAACAGATCATCGCCCAAGTTTGTTCTTTGATTATGCACAATGAAGTCATCTTTGATGACAATTATATTGTTGCCTTGATCAAATTGCTCGAACTAGCAACGAAACACAGTACATTATCAAAAACAGGCAAACATGAATTCATCTGTGATGAACTCGAACAACGTAACATCATCAAGAAAATCAAGGACGAAAGCGCGTACAAAACTGTAATTACAGAAAAGCCCCGGACTTTAGAGACAATTAGTGAATTGATCAGAGGAGTACATGACACAAAGGGCAAGAGAGAAGAACGTCGGGAGAATTCCAAGAAGATGGCTGCGCTCCTCAAAAATCCTTCAAGCAATAATTCGGTGCAACATTTGATGAAAATTGATGCTGCAATTAAAAAACTATTTGGAGTCAATCTTCGTGAGACTCAAAAAATGGCTGTCATTTATGCCGTTGAATCTGGAAAGAACTTTTTGTCTCAAGTCAACACAGGAGAAGGAAAATCGTACATTGTTGCATCGATTGCTATCATCCGGGCGCAACAATTTAAATCGGTCGACGTCATCACATCATCTTCAGTGCTTGCTCAACGTGATGCCGAGGAAATGCGACCCCTTTACGAAGCCATGGGCCTAAATGTGGCGCACAATTGCAAGGAAGGTTTAGAAGATCGCAAACAGGCCTACAAAGCAAATGTGGTTTATGGTGAAATCGGTCGATTCCAAAGAGATCATTTGCTTCACGATTTCTATCGGAAGAATATTCTCGGAGACCGTGAACGGCAAAGCAGCTGTGTAATTGTGGATGAAGTAGACAACATGCTTCTGGATAACGGTAACAATATGCTTTATCTCTCCCACAGTGTACCTGGACTGGAATTGCTTGAATCACTCTTTGTGCACATTCAAAGGATCATCTGCAGTCCAACAGCAAATCGAGGAAAGGAAGAAGCGTTTTCGACGGACAGCATTGAAGCACATGTTCTGAGTGATTTGTTAGGTAGAATATCTAAGGAAGATTTGGATTTGCTGGCTTTAACTTCTATTGCCAAGAAGAATTGTGCAAAAGTTTGGGACAAATTGGTGAATCTGCAAATCATCGATTCTAGTGGTTATTTGAAAATGGAAACGGACGAAGATTTTTTGAAACAGAAACAAGGCCTCCTCACTGCTTTGAAATCAGTGACAACCGAATTGCATGCAACAAAAATATTGTCCGCAATTAGAGCAGTCGTTAACCGACAACGTGAAATTCTGATCCCTCGCTATCTCATTCCATTCTGCCGTCGACATCTTCGAGAGTATATTGAAAACGCAAAACGGGCATTGTTTATGAATCACAATGAAGCGTACGTTGTTGATGTCGACCACACTGGCGAAGATACTGACATTACACCAAAAGTGACAATCATTGATCAAAACACCGGCGTCGACTTGGCCACTTCGCAATGGAGCGAAGGTTTGCATCAATGCATTCAGATCAAACACGCCTGTCGCCTCAGTCCAATCAGTCTCAAAGCCGTTTTTGTGTCCAATGTCTTTTACCTCAAAGAATACGGCAGAATCAATGGTCTCAGTGGAACTCTCGGATCAATTGAAGAAAGCAAAACTTTGGTCGAACTCTACGGCACCGATTTGATTCAATTGCCGACGTTTCGAGCAAAAAAACTTTATGAACATGTTCCAGTAATTATGCAAAAAGTTGAAGATTGGATGGATGCTATCTATGCCGAAATTGCAGATCAGGTGACTGTAAAGCGGTCTGTGTTGGTTATTTGTCGGTCAATTGCTGATGTGATGCAAATCAAGGCTGGGTTAAAGGAACGTCGTTTGAATGATGCAAATGCATCAAATGCAGTGAAATGTTGCTATGAGAACATGGTAGTTTATCAACGAGAATTTGATAAATTCAATTTCAGTGGAGAGAATAAACTAAAACCAGGTATGAGCATCCATAGAGATTTATAAAAAAATAAAATATTTATTTTCTGTTATAGGTAGATTGATCTTGGCTACAAATTTAGCAGGACGGGGAACAGACATCAAGTTGAGCGATGAACTCCGAGTTGCAGGCGGCTTGCATGTCATCGTGTCCTTTTTGCCCGAAAATTCCCGAATCGAAGATCAAGCATACGGTCGAGCTGCGCGATGTGGAGATCCGGGTTCTGGTCAGATCATAGCCATCACGGACAAAGTTGATGCTACTGGAAAGCCCCCATCAGTATTTGAATTGAAAGTGTTTCGAGACAACGCTGAAGTGCAAAGGCTCCAATCCATGACTGATTACTACAATTATCACACCAAAATCGAAGAAAGCTGTCTTGCCGCATTCAAACAACATTGCTTGAAAGCGCTGCGAAAAACGAGTGACAAAAAAAGTGACACCGGTGTGCCGAGGAAAGAAGAGATCATTTATTTTGCTTTGTTGGATGAATGGGCGTTGTGGTTGGATTCTCAGGCAGCTGCGATCAAGAAATGCGCGCAGGAACGTAGTGCCACAAAACGCAGCGAAATTATTGCTTCTGTTGAAAACTTCTTGACAACACATCCAATCGAACCTGTTGAAGCTGCGTTGAAATGGGTAAATGCTCCTCAACCTCTAATTGCTCTAGGGCTGATCTACGTTGATCAACAAGAATATCCTCGAGCCAACACAATTTTCGATTCTGTAATCACAAAATGCCCAGAATTTGCCGGTGAAGCAGGCTACTACAAAGGCATCATTGAACAACAATCAGTCCGCAAAGTCAAGGAAATTCCGAAAGATATTAAGGAATCAATTACCAAAAAGACGCCTCAATTTGTGATTAAGGCATTGTCTGGGAATTTTGCTAATACAACATCCGAAGCATATGAAACGGCGAAGAAAGCTTTGAAAGATTGGTTACCCGATAATGTTTGTGAAATCGATGACGTTCAACGAATCAAAACCGAGGATTATCTGTTGCAAGCAATTCGAACACTCAATCAACGAACAGAAAATAAGGAAACATTGCACACAATCGTTTCTCGTTTAAGAAAAGTCGTTGGTTCGAAAACAATTGCATCCAGTGGATTTCAAAATCAAACTGAAGAATTGAAGACGACTTTGGATTGCCTTAGTAGCAGCGCTTATGACATGATAGGACATGCAGTAAGTTGGCAAATCTTTGCAAACATGAAAGGAACGTTGGAAGAAAAATACAAAAGTCAAAAGCAACTAAAGCAATTCATGGAAGAAGGATACGTTAGTCCAAAAACTTTGAATCATAATTTACTCCCTAATCAATGTGAAGCATTGAGATCAAAGTACTTTTTATCGAAACGTAAAATTCAAAGGTATTTTTCTTTTAACTCCAATGAATGTAATAAATAAATATTGATTTTTAGATTCTTCAAGGAACAAATTGAAAGCTCATCGCGAGTCGAATTTTACAATCGAACTGTATTCCTTCCGGAGGAAATCAAGAAATTCTGCAAACTACCGCGAAGAGAAGAATTTTGGGGCTTCATGATTGTTCACCAATGCTTTTCATCCCTCAATGAATTCTTCATTTTCGATCAAACTCCTGATGATGGACCAATCAAAGAACTTAACGGTTTATCGGCAATTTCGGCTCCAGAGCCACATCAATTTCAAATCCAATTGAGCGACTTAAATCTTTCTCAAAAAGTGCTTTACGACGCAAAACAAGTCATCAAAGCGTTTGAAAGTGATACAGAAAAATTGGATTGGCTGCAATCTATTGGTGTGTTGACATTTGACGCTAGTGGTATCGTGGATTTAAACCGATACAACACGATGACGTATCTTCCAAACTACGACTACTTTACCGACAAAGAATTGGCAGAATATCTGGAAATTGATCAAAATGAAGGTATTTGGATTGCAGATGAACTTGTCAATGAAGGAATATTACGACTAAACTTGATGAATTTTGTTCAAGTCAATCCTGACAAAACCATTACAAAAGACATGGAAGGAGACAAAAAAAAACTATATGATTCTGTGTTGAATTGTGAACAATTGCAAAAGATCGACAACATTGATGAAGAAATTGTGAAGATTTTCCTCGATACTACCAAAGAGAAAGCGGAAAAAGCATTCAAAGAATTCAGAAACAACAAAATTTTGATTGACGTTACTCATAGATTCTATTTTCAAGCGTTAGATGAACTGGATTGCTCAATCTTGCCTCCATGCATCCGAGAATCTGTATCCTCATTTTTGTACCATAAATTTCCGTACACTTTTGCCTACAATGCCCTTCGAAGCAGCCTAGAAGCGTCAAAAGAAAATCCATCGATCAAGAAGTGCATTTTATTGCCATGGAAACCGTATCAAAGTCTTTACAAAGATTTGATCAAATACGGATTCGTTCATGATCACAAGCTCGAATTACGGGAGCGTCAATTCATCGAAGAAGTTGTTTTGAAAGAGATTAAGCAAATCGAAGACAAGATCAAGCCTCGATTGTTTATCAAATCTGGTGAACTGCTGTCTACCAAAAAATATTTCAAAGACGAGAAATTACAAACTGGCGGAGACGTTCAAGGTCAAGCGATTCATAGCCTTCGGCAAGTCGGCAAAATAGGAGAAAACAATGCTTGGCTGTTCTGGCTCGCTCTCAAAATAGTCTTCACCATTTTTATGGCTTCGTCAATTCCAGGACTCATTCTCTTGGCACTCGATGTGCTCATCAATTTCAAATCATATTGGGCAACGGCGTTGCTTGTGATTGCAGCGATCGGGACTATGCTATATTTCATTCAAACTATGAAAGCAAAATATGTCACACAAACAAACACGCAGGATTTCAAAGAACGGTACACGCAAATTATTGATTACCATGACAAAACAGTGGAGATGAGTAATCGACGAGGACAGAATAACAAACTGACAAATGTAAGCTACCTTAAATTTATTCACTAATATTTGATTTTTTTGTTTCAGGCAATTGTAACATCAATCAATGCAAAAATTGCTCACAATATTTTCCTGAAAGTCTCGGACAACGCTTGTGAAAATCTTGAGGCCATACTAGAAGATTCACGGATCAACGACAAAACCACAAAGGATCTGATCATCGATTCTCTTAATCAACCTCACAATTGGAAGTTGTTTCGGGATACTGTTCGAGAGTACATCACGCTACAGAAGCCCATCATTTGCGCCAAATATTACGATATTTTGAATTCAAATAGAATCGAACATGGATTTCAAGTGGAAAAAGCATTAAAAGCGGTTCAAACATTGGACACAACCTGGAAACTGGCATCATTGGAAGCGATGACCAGGCTGCTGAATTCATTATTGAACAAACTTGTCGAGGATTCAATTGTTTCTATTAGTGAAAACTTGGACTCTCAAATTGAAATTTCTTCAAAAATGTCTGAATGCGATGAATTTAATTCCGAAATGCACAGCAGAAAATCTACTGCCATCTCTGATTCAAGTGATTCTGAATCCAACGACAAAGAATCTAATGAAAAACCTGCAAAATTGTATATCGATCTTCTCTACGATCGCGCGAACAAATGCATTAACGAAGAAATTGTGGCGCAAGCTGGCAAGTCTTTGCTTGAAACCTTCGTACGTTACATTGAACACACTATCGAATCAACAGATGCGCCTGAAGGCCTCAACAATTACCTCAACGAGTTGACCGATGACAAATACTCGATCGAAGAACGTGGCAAAGAAGTGAGCGCGCTTCAAACTCGCTTGTTTGTTTCCAATGACCTTCATCAAGCTGTCCAAAAATGCTATCAAAAAAATCCTACCGAACAATTAAAACAAGTAATGAACCAATATAATCATTCTGCTTAATCATATTCGTTCTATTATAACCTCTCGCCAACGATGCAAGAGTCAGGATAATAAATAACGAATGAGAAAAACGATGTGATTAATATTTAAAAAATTGTCTTTGTATATATAGACAATTTTATTTTTGTTTTTTGTTAAATTTGTAGTGATTTTTAGCTTTTTTAGATTAAGTAAATTGAAATAAACAAAAAAATGAAAGAAACTAAGCTGATTTAGATTGAGATAAGAAAAATAAACTTGTCTTTTTGTATTTCAAATAAATTTGAACTTTTGAGGGTGAGGGTGAGGGTGAGGGTGAGTCCAGCTACCATCATCGCGATTTTGACCTTGCTGAAGGGTCTCGGCAGATGGCATGGAGGGGGGTGGGGGTGTGGGTGTGGGTGTGGGTGTGGGTGTGGGTGTGGGGTGTGGGATGTGCGTGTGGATGTCGTTGGGGTGTGGATGTGGGTATGGGTATGGGTGAATGTTGATCTATCATATGGTTTCACCCACACCCCACACGCACTCTCATCCACACCCACACCCACACCCACCCACACCCACATCCACACCCACCCACACCCACAAGAGGAATGTCATGCTCTTACTTCATTTGTGACACTGTTTTCTTTCCACTTGAACAATGCATCGCTTGTGACAAGGAGCAAGTGAAATTGGTTATTTGATCATATCAATTGAATCATGAAAATTGAGAAATATAAGAAAGAACAGAATTGTTTTGTTTATTGAAAGTTCCTAAAAGTAAATGTTCTTTTTTGATGAAATCTATTCAGTAGTTTAACTATTCGCGAATGTTTTGATATTGATCAATGAAAGAGATAATTATTTGTAGTTACCCAAAAAATCTCTGTTGACGAAGTTATATCGTATAATTAGAGTTAAATGAAGTATCTTCTGTGATATTATAGATTTCAATTTGAACGAGGATAAAAAGAAATCTAAGTAAAAAAATAAACTTGTTAATCTAATATTTCATTATAGTAGTAGACGATTGTAGGTGTATTCATGTATTTCTTATTATTTTTCTCTCTTATAGAAATTGTTCAACAGGTAAAAGAACATCGTTTTGTTTTTCATAGTATTTAGTTTATTCAAATCTTTCATCAAACTATTGTCGGTATATCCTTTATTTCGATTGAATGGAAATGTTGAGGAGTTTCATAAAAAAGAAAACCTACTCAACGACTTGTTTGTGTATGTTTCTCGTTAAGTATTGATGTTTTTGAAAATAATAGACGCACTTTCTGACTTATATCCATTTTTCATAATTTTATAAAGCCAATAAGAAAAAGTATTAATTAAATTGGTAAATACACAGCTAAAGGCCTACATAATTAGACCAGGATATTTTTGTATTAGAATTGCCTTGATTTCCGTAGCTGATATGACCAAGAACAAATGGAAGAGTGTTCACCACTTAGTATAGCCGTGAAAAGCTATTCAATTCTCTTATCAATATAGGCATAAGGTATTTTACCAACAAAATAATTGATTTATTTTTATGTTTTTTTGCCGAGTACATTTGCAATGAACCGATATGTTTATCGAGCATTTGTCAGATATAGACTTTTATTGTGACAGTTTTTTTTCTTTTAAAAATAAAATACCGACAAACGTAAGTAAATAATAAGTGAGAAAGTAGAAAAGTAAGACATTTCATTTGAAGAGAGCTTGTTACAATGTATAATTGAACTAAACAAATAATATGATGATAGTAGTAATGGTGAATGTATAAAAGGAAATTACTATTATAATATTATTAGTGAATAAAATTGATCTGAACATGAGGTATCTTTTGTTTATGCTTTATATTTATTTATTTAAATTTTATAATTTCAATTAGTTTGTTATCTGTTGACAATAGTAGGAAAAAATTTCGTTATACTCGAAGTACGTCAATTTCGTTGACTGAAAAGTAACTCTGTCTTTTTAGGAATTAAATTATGTATTGATCAAATATTTGATTTTGTAAAAGAAATCTCAATAATAATTAATTAATTAATGAACTATACATTTGTTTTCTCATTAGACTTTCAATGAAAAAATTTTGATAAAGCTGTGTTAACATTCTATGTGTGTGAAAGAATCTTGGTAGGAACTATATGTTAAGAAGTATAAGTGAATCTTTGAAAAGTAGCAGAAAAATTTGATCTAAATGATTTAAAGAAAATTGCAAACGTCTCCCTATGAAATGATATCCTCCTCGTCACTTTTATGAGAAGTTTCTATCAATAAAAAGGCTTATAATAAAAGACTTATTGACATACTTATCTTCGATATATATGATAGAATTCAGATTGATGTTGATGCTTAAAAAATATTTGTGTAAAGTTTTTTGTTTAAAATATCAAGTAACTTCTCTCGATCGTAACGTATTAAACAACAAGTCTTTTGATAAGATTCATAAATAATTCTAATATTATTCAAATTTAATTTATGTTTCTTTTTTCAAAATTCTCCCGGTTCAATTCAATAGCCATTAGTCCAGAAATCTTACTCATATGAACTGTTGATCGCAAGATTTCCATCAAGCAATGTTCAATGAGTATGATTAGAACTCTTTGTCAGTATTTCAATATGA